TCTGCCTCCTGAGTATTGGCGTTAAAGGCAAACACCACTATGCCTGACTGGTTTGTTTGGTTTTGACACAGCGTACCTATGTAGATTAAGTTGGCCTGGAACTTGTTATGTAGACCAGGCTGATTTAAACTTTGCTGTGATCTTCCTGCCTCATTCTTCAAAGTGCTTAGGTTACTAATGAACACCTGGCTCATGAAATGGGTTTGAACATGTCTACAGAGCTGTGTCTCCAGGAGGAACCATGATCAGCATTCCTTCTGCACACGAGGATGCTCAGAGCCAAGGCAAACTCCAGGGAGGCAGAAGAAGATGCTGAGAGGGTGGATGCCGCTCTGTTACTATAGGCCAAGGCAAGAGCTGGCTTTGGTCATGTTCTATATGCTCAGTTCTGTACTCTGAAATGTATCAACCATGAACATTGGTTATACTTATTTGCTGGAGGGAGAAGGGAAGAAAGAAGAAGGAATATAGACCAAGGATTAGAAGAACAGAGAAGGGGCTCACCCAGGGAATGAGAGGCGGTTATCAGGACTGAACAGAATGAGTAGACAGGTAAAAGACTACCCTGTCTCTGCTCCCTGCCTTTTCCATCTCCCCTTTCCTTCCTTTTTGAAGCAGCAATTCTGAGAGTCTGGCCAGAGCAATGATCTCAAGTGTGCAAATCATTAGGCACATGGCAATTGTACAACCAGTATGAGCTCTGATTAGCCTGTCCCTTTGAAGGATGGCACCATATGGAAACACAATGTATGCTGCCATGTCTCTGTTTGCCCTGAGGGAACAGCCTGTGCACACTGCCAGAAGCCTTTACCTCTGTCCTTCTTCACACCATGCCCATCTGTCCAGGGCATCTTACAGCCAGCACGGAGCCTGGCTGGCCCAAGTCAAGCCTCTGTGACCTCAGACTAGACTACTTCATAGGTTGCATGGAATGGACACAGGAGGCAGATTTCATTCTCAGTTGTGTGGGAGGGCCTGGCTAGATCTACTTGAGCTGTTTAGACAGGGAAGGAACCAACCAGGACCAGGACTCCCTGATGCTCTTAAGAGCTGAGAGTGAAGCTGGGGTGGTAGAGGGAGAGCGTTCTCCATCGTGTTGGCTGCTGAAGAGTACCCATCCCCTTGAGCGGCCAGGAGGTTACGCAGGGTCAGAGATCAGCATCAAGGGCTCCTCTGGGAAACTACAGATTCTCTGGTAATGGAGGGTTAGAGCTTCTGTTTTGGCTTGGCCTAGTTGCCCAACCCAACTCTGGGGTCTAGCAGGACAGGGTGACACCTTGGTATCCATGGCACATCCTGAGACACTATTTCTGTCAGACCTGGCTTTTGCCCCTTTTGGAAACCCCAGGGCTCTGGCACACTCACCAATCATGATGCCAGAGAATGCCAGGACGAGGGCAGCCACCAGGGCAGAGGTCACGACGGAGAGGATCAGCGAGAGTGGCAGATGGGGCTCCGGGGTGGGTGACACTGGAAGACAGGTTCCAATGGGGCACTGACCACCATGCTGATTCTCCTCTGAGCTGATCCTAAGTCAGAAATACCCTCCCCAGTTGGAAAAGCCAACCTGCTGTTTCCTGTCTCTGGAGATCTGTCACACCTCCCTTTCAGGGGACTTTGGGCTCATCCTGATTTCACAGGCTCCTAACAGTAGCTTTTGGGTGAAGGGAAAATTCAGTTGGGATAAATATTAATCCTATGTATTGGCCCCAAACATCAGCTGCACAAGGATAGAGTGAGGAACAGAGGAGAAACAGAAGTGGACATAGAAGAGACGTGAGGGAGCACCACACTCAGTAGAAGCAATGGTAGAGTCCCATCGTGACACCCTTAGAGGCTGAATTACTTCCTGTGGTCCTCGAACAGGAGAAAGTCCCCTGAGCCCCCATCCTGGCCACGTTATACTCTGATTCATGAAACTGCACTTCCTCCTTTCCCCTTTCCCCTCCTCCTTTCCCTTTCACCCTCCCTTCCCCTCCCTCCCCTCCCCTCCCCCTCCTCTTCTCATTTTCTCTTCCACCTTTCTCTTGTTTCTTCTTTTTCTCTTTCCTCTTTCCTCCTCTCTCCTTTCTTTTCCTTTTTCTTTTTCTTCCACCCCTCTCTCCTTCTCTGCTCCCCCCACCCCACTTCCACAATCTAGATTGGTCTCAGGACATTTTGCATACTAGGCAAACACTCTACCATTGAACTACATCCCCAGCCCCTTGTATATTTTTCAAATTTTGAAATAAGGTCCCATTAACTCCACCTGTAGCCTGGCCAGGCCTTGAATTTTTCAATTTTTCTGCTTCAGACTTTTGAAGAGCTGGGATTACAGGCCTGTGCCACCAGACTTGGCTTGGACACTATATTTCTCAAGGGGCATTGACACTTGGATCACTTGCAGAAGACGGATCCTAGGGTCGGGAGGAGGCGTAATGCTTCCTCTGTGTGATGAAAATGGAATTGAATCTGGAGAAGACTTAAAGATAGAAGCATCATCCCTTTCTAATCTGCATTTGAAAGGCTGTGTCTAGTTAGGAACCCTGCCACAGAAATTCAAAGGTGAAACTCCTTGTTTCAGGGAGTGCCTGAGGTGCACTGAGGATCCTGTCACTGGGTCCTTGAGTGGAGAAAGGATAGCTGACCCCTTGCTGAAGGTGCTAGAGGGTTCCTGTCTTGGGTGAGGGAAGGGCATGGGTGACTTTGAGACTCCTTCAGGTGTAATAACCCACATTTCCCACAAGGGCTCTCTGCTCAATTGTCAGAGCACCAAGCTGAGAGAGACAGGACACTTACAAAACAGAGCTGAGCTTGTCCTGGAACCATGGAAACCAGTTGGCTTAAGCTCTGGCCCTCTTCCCTTCCCCACATCTGCCCCTTACCAATGCAGGAGACACCATCCTCAGCCAGTACGGTCCCATGGTCACAGAAGCAGATGACCTTGTGGCTCTCGGGGTCCATGTGGCATTCATCTACCTCACAGTGACTGCAGTTTAGGTAATGCTTGATATTCACCTCCCCATGGCCCTCCATCACTGGTGACAAGGAGGGAGGATCAGTCTTGGGCTGAACGTGAAGAATACCCTGTACGCCCAGATCCCCGCCTTTGAGCTTTATCTCCAGCTGCTCACTGTGGGGTCTCAGGGTCCCTGTTCTAGGTCTCTGGGCCACTGGAAGCACAGCTCTGTGTGGAGAAGCCTCTCTGGGCACCTGGTGAGTGGAACAGAGACTGAGGATATGTGTATGACTGTGTATGAATGAGAGAATTGCAGCCAGGGCCCTGATGCTGGATGGTACAGGTGTTCCAGCTGCTGTTTCTTCATTTCCTGGGACCTGCCCCTAGTGGTCTGTATTCTACTCCTCTGCTCACATTCAACCACACATCTGCACTTCCAAAAAGCATGGTGATATGAGCCTTCAGAAAAATTGCCTGCAAGGCCCTACAGCCATGCATTGATATCCTGGCCCCCCAAGATTTTGGCTTTTGTGGAAGAAATGGCCTAAAGAAGTTTGTTTCATCACCTGGCAGAGGGGGTACCTTTTAAGGCTGGGGTGTACAGGATACCCAATGGACTGATGAAAGAAACCCCATCTTCCCCATCCATTTCTGGGTCATTGTTTGATGCTGCATTGCCACCTGTAGCAAACCAGAGAAGAGTTGAATCCTAAGAGGTGGGTGCCCAAATCTCAACATATATACATATCAGTGGGCATGCAGCGATAGCCAAAGCTGGGGGCAGGGATCACTGGAGGCCTGTGGGGTAGGGATGAGGAGGGAAGGGAGGTTCTGGGCACAGAGGCAGTACTTTGGATTTTGGCTCTGTAGATGGTAGGTATGTGGGTCACTTTCTCCTCCAGGTTGGGGCCAGATCCTCTGGGGGAGTCTTTTCACCCTGCTAAGTTCCACTACCAAGTAGTCCAGAAGAGCAAAAGTCCAAGAAGTTGTAGTCTCTCTAGGCTCAAGAGCATCCTTGAGGCCCAGAGGAGTTGTTCTCAAGTTCCTTGGGATCAGGCTGGGGCCTGGGAGAGATGAGCCACTGTGCCTTCTGGCTCCTGTCCCTCCTTTCATCTGGGACTGGGTGATCTTGGGAATCCCCCCTGGAGTCCTCCCATCTACCCAAAGCTCAGAAAGGAAGAGCTTGTGTGGTTAACACAAGCATATTATACATAGCATCAAAGCAAAACACAGACACAAACATCACAGTGCAGGCATGCAGTGTGTGGCCTAATCTGGGGGAGGGTAGGGGCATTGTCTGCCAATCTTTCAGCTTCGGAAGACTCTTCCCAAGGCAGCTGGGGTCAACAGCAGGCTGCTTACTGAAGGGCTGAGCTGAGGCTGCCTGGGGCAGCTCCTGGGAATAGCTCTAGTCAGCATGGAGAATGCTGCTTTTTGGTACTAGTGGGCTGGGCATAGGAGACTGAGAATCAGGAGCCTATGACATGAAGACCAGTCCCTTCCATACTGGCTTGGCCAGGCCCCTGAAAGGAGCTATGAGGATTGGTAGAGTCTTATCTCCAGGACTGCCCAGTCCTTGTGTTGGCTTAGAGAACAGTCTGGGAAGCCAAAGCTCTGTATGCTCAGCTTTGAGGGTGATCAAGGATCACACAGGCGCTTGATGTTGCTAAGGAAGCCTGGAGGCAGGATGCTGGCTCGGGAGCCAACACCCTACCTCTGGCAGGCCCAAACCAGGCCAGGGTAGGGGAGCGTGCAGTCACATCACAGTTCACACTGGGTGGGGGAGGGGCAGGAGGTGACAGGTAGGGAGGTGCCTAGGACTAAGAGGGGGAGGGAGTGACACCTTGAACACGAATCATCTTTACCTATATATCCTCCGCCTCCTCCACCTGAGGAGCACCCCCCTCCACCCCCTCCGAAACCCCCTCTTGTCTCCCACCCCCACTTCTTCATGGCCTGGGGGCAGGAATGTCCTCCTGTGGCACCCTCCAGCAAAGACTTTCCGGCCCAGAGCAAGGAAGTGTTATCATTCCAGCCGCCTCCACCACCTGCAGAAGAAATGAGAAGTGGGCTTCTTGAGGAGCTGGAGAAATTGGAAGGAGGATGTGGTGGCCTTTGAGGGGCACCCTTACCTGTTCTGTTTCAGGGAGCCCTCTTCACAGAGAAAGCTAGGGATGCATGTCATGAGAGCTAGGGAGACTGCTTAGACCACAGCATGTGCCTATAGAGTATGTCTTGTGTCCTGGCCTCCCTAGCTCAGAAGTGGGCAGTGTGCTTCATTCAGGATCTGGGGACCCTGGAGATAGTGTGATGATGGAACTCCTTCCTCTATGCCTGCCACCGCTTGAAGCATTGCACCTTCATTTCATTAATTGTTTCCATACTGACAAGAGCTGGGGCCCATTGTCTTTGCAGCCAACTGTCAAAGACCTGCAGAGGTCACTGCACTATTTTCTTTCAGGAATCCTGGACCAGGCTCTCTCTACCCCCATGGTCTTTACTATTTGCTGGCTGTGAAACCCAGGCCATAGACTTCCCCATTCTGAACCTCAATTTCTTCACCTGCAACTTAGAGATAGTAAGACCCACCTCATAGGGTTGCCATTAGAACCAATGGAGAGAGTGAGTGTGGGAAACACTCCACAAAGTGCCAGGTATGGGGACTGTTGAGTTTGAGAGGCAGGACTCTTGTCTGCTGCCTGCCTGACTCAGCCTACTTCAGCTGCTCCCTGGCCAGAGACTCAAAGCTGTAACTCAGCCAGGAGCAGGGAAACTCAGCAGATGGTAGGTGATGCCCAGTGAAAATGGCAGGCACTGGCGCTGTGCTCTCTAAACCCTGGGTATGCCTTGACCCCTTGGAAAGCAAACTGACAGAGTTGAGATTGTACATGGTCACTATCAGTTGACCCCAAGGAATCTCTCCAGTGCTCCCTCTCCCTGATTGTTCCATATGACATTTTTAATAGACATTCCATAGACATGTCCAATCCAAAGACTCCAGTAGATGACGGCAATGGGGCCTGGGAACCCACGCAGAAGAAAGGGGATCACTGCCTGGGTGGGTCTGTTGGAAATGTAAGAGCTAACCTGCCTGGGGGATCCTCGGGAAGAACTCCTAGCTGAGGTTCTTCTGGCCCAGAGAGAGCAGTAGAGGGGCATGTGGATTGGGGAGCCTCAGAGAAGGACTAGGTGCTAGTAAGAGGGACCCAGGTTTAGAAAATGAAGCTAAGATGGGTAACAAGCTTTGATTTTCAATAGCAGCAAAGTATGCTGAGTTAAGGCCCTCCAGCAGGGTGTGGGGACTTTGTCAACTCTGGAAACTGCAGGGCTGGAGTGTTGAGCTTTCACAGGGCTAATCCAAAAGCCTCAAATCAGCAAGATAGATAGCCTCTGGGGCAACAGGGTAGTGCCTGCCCTCCCTCCCGTGTTATTGATACCAATCACAGCTCCCAACATTTTAGGGGTCAGTGACTATTATGCCTTCGGGGACATAATCCCTGGGAGAATTCCAGGAGAGAATGGGGCTTTACCTGCGGCTCCGGAATTGCCATTCAGCCCTAGAACTGAGGAGTTATTCTCCAATCTTTCTGGGTGGAACGTGTCTGTCTTGGCCCCGTAGGCCCTGCCACCACCGCCAGCTGCAATGATCAGGGGTACCGGCACGCCATCTTTCATCTAGCCAGGAGAAACATTCAGAGATGGAGAGACCAAGCGAGGCATCCACTAGGGAGGCCCCAAGCCCTGGTTTAAATGTTTAGATTTGACAGTTTACAGGGCAATGGGGTGACCTCTCCACCGGTGATGGTTTGAGGGCCCCAAATAGATGTTGTAGTAACCTCCCCTCCATTAGCTCCTGTATCAGTTGGAGTTCAGAGAAGAAACCCTCTGGGGTTTCCATCTCTTAATAGGTTACAAATGAGCTGGGATGGATCCTGGAGCTTCCTTCAGCCCCTTCCCTGAAGTTCCTTGGAGGTCTTGTTGCTGGTGATTAGAAGCAGGTCTCGCTGTCTCTATCCTCTGCACTCTTAGACATCTCTGTCTCTGATACCTACAAATTCAAGACTTAAGCCCTCAGCATCACTGTCCCCAGGGACAGCACCCAGAAAGACTCTCCTCCTGATTTTAGGTAGTGGCCTGCCTTTGATGATGTCTGAAAAGTCTGCTTTAGGATAGAACACTGGCCCAGGAGGTACAGGGAGCCCTGAACCAGAGTTGGAAAAGGCTCATCATGGTGAACCTGGGCTAACCTTTCTTAGGCAGGCAAACCCCTCTGGGTCTCAGCTTCTTATCTTTAATGAGACATGGAACAACATCCCAGGGATTTCTATCTATGGCTGTTCTGGGGATATAACACTATGATGGACAGATGCCACTGCCTTGAGCATCTGTCTGACCAGACCTCACCTTAAACACGAAGGTGGCTCCACCCCCACCTCCTCCTCCTCCTGCCCACTCATGCACGCTTCTGTTCACACGGATCTCTTCTTCTATCACGTTGTTCTCTCCGATGCAAACTTTCTGGATTAGTTGGTTTGTCTGTAAAAACAAAAAGCACCTAATTAGGTTTGTACCCAAATCAGGAGTTGCCACTTCCAAGTGCCCAGACCCTGTAAGCTTAAAGACAGGATCTGATTACTTCTCAAATAGCTTATGGTTGAGTCGAAGAGACAAAAAAAGTACAAACAATGGTCACTTTGGGCAGTATTGGGAAAGGGACACAGATTGGATTGGATATAGATGCTGTGAGGAGTTGGGAGGGAACCTTTATTCCTGACTGTATCCAGGGAGGATTGCCTGCAGGAGGTGGCTTCTGGAGGGCTATGAAATAGGGGGGATTCAGCACAGAGAAGGGGGCAGTCAATTCATCCCTGGAGGACAGAGCAGCATGACCCACAGGAAAGGAGGTGAGTGGAGTGTGTGTGGGAAAAGCCCATCTTAGACCAAGGCAATAATTAAGATCCTGTGTCTGCTCAACCCTTCTTGACAGGAGCCTGGCGTTGATGTAGGCTGGAGGGAGCATAAACGGCCAAGCAGAGGGTTAAACTAACTGCTAGGTCATGACAGGAGGTCTCGCATAAAATCAGAATTGGACTTCATGCCTAGGGAGTGGAGAGGAATTGAATTTTGTTTATTTGTTTGAAAAGTTGCAGCTCTAAAGCATCATGGGAAGAGTTAAAGATGAAAACAGAACAAATAAATTTGTGGAAATTCCATTATTATTATCTTTAAAAAATTTTTATGTGTATGAGTGTATTGCCTGCATGTGTGTAAGTGCACCTATGTTGTGCAATGGCCAGAAGAAGGTGTCAGATCCCCTGGAGCTGGAGTTATGGACAGTTGTTAGCTGCCGTGTAGGTGCTGGGAACTGAACCCAGGTCCTCTGCAAGAGCAGCCAGTGCTCTTAACTGCTGAGCCATTTCTCTAGCCACTGAAATTTCTTTCTTAACTCATCTTTGGGAAAGTAGTTTTTCCATCTTGGACATCTCATTTATCCCAACTAATGTCCTATTTCTTGTCTTTAAAATCCTTGGCACACAGCCCTAAATAGAGTTCCCTGGCTGCCATGTAGAAGAGGGAGTAGACCTTGGAATCAAACATCAGGACTCATCACCACTTTGAGGTGCCATCTCCATGGTGCTCCAGTGTGGGAACAGTATAAGTCAGCTGCTACTATGGTGTGTCGTTAGGGTTGGGGATGTCTAGATGGGTGGCTGCGCATAGCAGTTCCACAGATTCACTTCTGGGCTCCATATACTTCTCATGGGGGGTTCAGGGATCTGGGCATTCCTGAGATTGTGCTGGATAGGTTTTGTTGTCAACTTGACATACCTGGGTAGAGGGAGACTCAACTGGAGGATTACCAACATTAGATGGGCCTGTGGCCATGTCTGTGGGGCATTTTCTTAATTGTTGAGTGATGTGGGAGGGCCCAGCCCACTGTGGGTGGTGCCACCCCTGGGCAGGTGGGCCTGTGTTGCACAAGAAAGCAGGCTGAGCAGGGGCCAGGGGAGCAAGCCAGTAAGCAGCATTCCTCCATGGCCTGTGCTCCAGCTCCTGCCTCCAGGTTCCTGCCCTGAGTTCCTACCTTGGGCTCCCTGATGAACTGTGATCTGGGAGATGTAAGCTAAATAAACCCTTTCCTCCCCAAGTTAGTATTGGTCAGAGTATTTTGTCACAGCAATTGAAAGCAAACTAGAACTTTTGGTAACACAAAACCCTAGAACCCTGGAAGGAAGAGTGTGGGAGCTGCCAGAGGAACAGCCACACCTGCCCATCGGCCACAGCAGCTCAGATGAATTCTTTAAACACAGCCTGAACTTGGTGGGAAATGACTTTTCTTTCACTTAATGGAATAAAAGCCAATAAAACATAAAATTTCCTTCAAATGCTGCTGCGTAACCAGCCGGTGGACACGGCAATCCATCTCAAGCCATTCCTTATGCTAAAGTATTCAAGAGTGCTGCCAGTGAGTACTGGAGAAATTTCCAGATAAACAGCTGAGATGCAATTTGTTTTATGGCATTTTGGATTTAATGATGGAAATAATTTGACATTTTTTTTAGTGGATTTAGTGTGGATGGAAGGCTCTGACTCACTGGTGGAGAGATAATGTTTCTCTCATGTATATGTAGTGATGTCCAGGACAGCAGGGAGACTGCTGTGGGTGGCCTCCAACAGGAATGGGTGGCAAGGTGCGTATCCCGAGGCTGGGTCCATGGGAAGAGGGGAGAGGGGTAGATGGGGAGAGGGTGGAGGCTGTCAGTTGGGAAGTCCTTTGATGGGTAGGACATCTCATGGTTTTGTACTTGCCTCCATCTTTCAATCAAAAGGCTACCTGGAGTGAACCAGCAGGACTCAGAAGACCCACTCCCAGACCTGTCTCCCTCTCTCTCTCTCTCTCTCTCTCCACAACACCCACTCACACCTCTCTCCCTCTCTCTCTCTCTCTCTCTCTCTTCCTCCCTCTCTTCTTTCCTTTCTTTCTTCCTTTCTTTCTTTCTTTCTTTCTTTCTTTCTTTCTTTCTTTCTTTCTTTCTTTCTTTCTTTCTTTCTTTCTTTCTTTCTTCTTTCTTTCTTCCAGCAGGCAGTAATGAGACATTCACACCATGGGGATGAAGGCGCAAGGACTTGAGGATGGCCTTGTGAACACTTAGAGCAGGACTCATGCCTATCCTTCACTTCTGCTCCAGGCACCCCATTAAATTGGGGCAGGGGACTCCTAAGAAATGGTATATTCTCAGCTAGTATCTCATTGACCTACTTGGCGGAGACAACACACTTCACCGGACTCCTAGGATTCCATATCCCCTCAAGCCCATCCTACCTTCCTGGCTCCTCTACAGTTCTCTCTCTCTCTCTCTCTCTCTCTCTTTCTCTTTCTCTTTCTGTCTCCCCTCCCTCCCTCCCTGTTTTAACTTTATGTTGATTTATATCTTCTTCCCTGGACTTCTGAACCCCAGCAGTTCACCTGTGGTTGCCCATCTGCCATCTCCCATAGCTACTTGGCTGTCTATTAGACATCCACAGTTAGCATGTCTGACATTGAACTCCCAACCTTGCCACCAAATTTTCAATCTACTCGTTTTTCTTTTGAGATAGTCTCATTTTGTGGCCAAGCATGGCCTAGAACTCACTATGCAGTCTAGGCTGGCCTTGAATTTGCGATAATCCTCCTGCCTCAGCCTCCCAAGTGTTGAGATTACAGGCATGTCTGGCCTAACTTGTTCCTTCTGCAGCATCCCATGACAGGTGATGGCAGCTGCCTCTTTCCTCTGGCTCAGGCACAGTCCTTGGAGTCACTCCTGACTCCTTCCTTTCTCTCAGTTCCTCATCTAATCAGGCAGGAAGCCCTTTTAGATTTCTCATTCCAAACATGCCCAGTATCCAACCACTTGCCACCACTTCCACTGTGACAAGGCTAGTCCAAGTCACCAGCCTCTCTTGCCCAGATGAGTGCAGTAGCATTTGAATCTATTGCCTGACTCTTCCCTAGTGCTGCCTTCACAGTCCAGCAGCCTTCACAGTCCAGCCACAGCGAGCCTTTGGAGACACATATATCATTATGTCACCATTCAGCTCCATGCCCTCCTATGGCTGGGACACGGGACATGTTCTTACAACAGCCTGGTCCAGCCCATTTGCTCTGGTCTTGCCTCTTAGCTTTTGTCCTGCACGTCTCCCCTCAGGCACACAGATGTACTCCCCCCTCAGGGACTTAGCCTTGGTCAAGTCTTCCTCATCCTGCTTGATGGAAGCTCTTCATGTGCAAGAATTTTTCTTATATATTGACATGGCCCAAGTTCTTAGAATAGGGGATGGTACACAGAAGGTACTCTGTCGATGTTTGTTGAATCACTCTCAATGGGTCAAAAGCTGTCAGGCTTATGCACTAGCCTTCCTGGTATTTGCTGGGGGGATGATGAGGTTTAACAAATAGATTAGTGATTTTGCTATCTAGAGAGAATCTGGGAATTTCAGGAGGCATTTTGATGGTGGTTGCTGGGAGACACTACTGGCATCAAGTGAGTAGAGGATTGGGATGCTGTTAAATGACACAGGGCAGGACCCCTCCCTGCCACAAAGAAATTCTGCTCTAAAATACTAATGGTGGCTCTGTCAAAAAAGCCTGATTTAGACCCATGCTACCAGGTGAGATCTGGTGGGAACTGGGCTCTGACTTTCTGTCCTCTTCTCTCTTCTCTTCTCTTCTCTTCTCTTCTCTTCTCTTCTCTTCTCTTCTCTTCTCTTCTCTCTTCTCTTCTCTTCTCTTCTCTTCTCTTCTCTTCTCTTCTCTTCTCTTCTCTCCTCTTCTCTCCTCTTCTCTTCTCTTCTTTCTTTCTGGGATGGTCAAGAACCCAGAAAGAGATTCCTACAGATATACAACTGAACCAGCCAAATCCTGCCTTTTAATTTCTAGAATTCACTTCATTCTCTTGAGAGTGACTCTAGACATTACTTTTCTAGAGGAAACCGGAGATGGGTACTGTCTCCACTTATCCAAGTGCTCATGCTATGCCTGGTCTGACCAGCAGAGGGGGCTTCCCTCTGTTCATGACTGAGAATCACTTCCTCCTGCCCTCTAGGGAACTCTCCCTGTGTATCCACAAAGTTTGAGAACAAGTAGGTTGATTAATAAAAATGATAAAGCGCAGCAACCTAGAGGAACAAGTAGATTACAATTGAATTAAAAAAAAAGGACGTGGTCCTGTGAAAAGACATAACTGATTACAATCCAATCAAGTAAAAGTCCCTTGCAGAAGTCAATGCAATCTTTCTGCTTAGATGAAAGAATTACATTAGCACTCAATAAATTCTTGTGAAAATTACAGCAGCCTGTAATTTAATGACTTAATATATTATAACAGCCTGCAAAGTCCTGATTATAGCTGCTAAATAAAAGTTGGAGTGGAGACATTTCTTAGGCAGAAGGTGGCATCCATCAGGCTTGGTCTTGTGGCTTTGTGTTAACCCTGGGAGGGGGTTGTGAGGGAGGCTGAGCAGCTCTCATCTGCTGCCTCCTGAACTCCCGGACAGCACCTGGTTCTTTGGAGCTGAGTTTCTTTAGTGGAACTGAGCTGCTTTATTGCCCCTGCTCCCCATTTGTCATCCCAGGCTGTCCTCCCTGGCTGCAGGGCAGTGCTTGGAACAGGAACTGTCTCAGGTACTGATCCAACTCCTTGTGTGGGCCCTGCACCAGTAAAGCTAGCCTTCAGGTGAGGCTGTAGTCAATCAGGACATGTGCCCTGCTGGGTGCTGAGTTCCTGCCAACACAGCCAGCGCCACCAGGGTACTGCCATGTCCCAACACTGTCAGGCGAGAGGCAGACAACTGGGGTATCTGGGGTTTGTTTGAATGCTGCTGCTTAGTCAGTCCTCAGGGTCTCATTCTGTGTCCATTTTAGACTACCCTGGACGTTCTCAGCTCCTGCTGTTGGACTTCTCTTTGACAACTAGACACCCTGGTGGGGTCAGAAACACAATGGCAGGCTGTCTTTGGGCAGAGGCTCATCTAGTGATGGGATATTTAAGTGGAAATGGGGGAAAAGTCATAGAAACCAAGCAAGTGCAGGATGCAGCAAAAACAGGAGCCCCGGGTCACTCTGTGAGTGACATTGGGCAAGTCCCCTCACCTCTGTGGTCCCCCTTTTCCTCCTCTGAAAAATGAGAGTGTTAAAATGATAATGGTCCCCACAGACTCATAGTTGGAATGTCTTTTTTTCTCAGCTGATAGTCCTGTTTTAAGAGGCTGTGGAGTCTTTTAGGGGGTGGGGCCCAGCTGGTGGAAGAAGGTCACTAGGGACAGGACTTTGAAGATTTCCCTTCTGGGTCTTTCCCCCCTTCCCTTCCTTTCTGCTTCCTGATTTGCTACCATGTGAGGAGTTTCTGCCATAAGCATTGGCTTCCATGAACTCCACCATGCCTTCCCCACCAGGATGGACTGAGACCCTTTGGAACTATGAGCCAAAATGCCAGAACAACACAAAAATGACTAATGGAGAAATGGGCTACCTGGTATCCAGGCTCTCAGTCTTTGTTTTAAACTATTTAGATTTCTCTTTCTTTCTTTCTTTCTTTCTTTCTTTCTTTCTTTCTTTCTTTCTTTCTTTCTTTCTTTCTTTCTTTCTGTTTTGAGATAGTGCCTCATGTATCCTAATCTGGCTTTGAATTCACTAAGTATTGGGAGATGACTTTGAACTTCTGGTCCTTTTGACTTTATCTCCCATGTACTGGAATTACAGGTGTGTACCTATGTGCTCTGGATTGAACCCAGGGCCTCATACATGCTAGGTAAGCACTTTGCCAAGTGATCTCCATCCCAGCCCTGAAAACAATTTTTTTTTTCCTTTTGGTCTTTTGGAGACAGGGTCTCTCTGTAGCTCTAGCTGGCCTGGAATATGTGGACCAGGCTGGCCTTGAATTCACAGAGATCTGCCTGCTTCTGCCTCACAAGTGTTGGGATCAAAGGTGTAAGCCAACACACCCAGATGAAAACATTCTTTTTAAAAAAATATTTATTATTTTTATTTTTATGTGTATGAGTGCATTGCCTGCATGTATGTAAGTGTACTGGTGTTGTGCAATGCCTGCAGAGGCCATAAGAGGGCATCGGATCCCCTGGAACTGGGGTTATGGATGGTTGTAAGCTGCCATGTGGGTGCTAGGAACCAAACCCAGGTTGTCTGTAAGAGCAGCTAGTACACTTAACAGATGAGCCATCTCTCTAGTTACCCCCTGAAAACACTCTTTTGTTTTCAATTTTTCAAAATTTCAAACAATTTCAAAATTGTTGACAATTTCAGACATTATTAATAAAGTATCCCAAATCCAGTCTCCTCCCCAAGAGTGACCCCTAATATGTATGTCTTTCAGAACTCATCTGTGTCTTTATGTACATCTAAATGTGGTCACATCTGTGATTCTGAGTGAATGCAAAGTCTTTCAACTTTTTTCACTATTTATAATAGTATGATTAATGACAACTGTGTTCCAGCCAGAATAGTCAGGAAGTGGGTATCACCTCCTATTTCTGTGGCAAACAACCACTCTTGGCTCATTTAAGCAGGATTCAGACCCTTGGCTTTCAGTCAGTCATGAAACCAAACTTCAGCCTTGGCTCCTGTGGGACTATAAAATTCCAATAGTTGCACATTCCCTATGTCCTCAGTCACCCAAATGGCCTGGGAAAGGAGGGCATTCACAGGTAGAGCTGGATATGAGTCCTACCATTTTTGAACATGAATTCCCAGAAGGAGTGTTTTGGGTTACTGTCTCCCAGAAGGCCACCCTCACACCCCCTGCTACTGGACAAGTGTGCAGGACAAGCCCTGCTTTGGACACTTACACTAGGACAGGCATCCTCTCCCTGTTGCCCGACCAGGATGTATAACGTGTCATCCTTCTCCAGGTTGAAAATACCCAGCACAGATACTCCATGGGACCGCATCATGGTGTTCTTCCCGCCTTTCCCGCCAGCTGCTCCATAGCCTGAGATGCTGCAATGGGACAAAGCATGGGGGTTCTTAGATGATCCCTTTCCTGCCAGCCCAGGGGCTTCCAGGGGGCCAAGCTCCTCTGAGAGTTTTTGCTTACATAGTGCCCCAAGGCTGACTGGGAAGGAAACCTCTCCCCACTGATGGGGAAGAAGCCAATGTTGCTGAGTAGCTTAGTCACAGAGCTTGGAAGGACTAGTGAAGTGTTCAAGAGAGAGAGAGAGGGGTGGGGAGAGGGAGAGAGGGAGGGAAAGAGAGAGTGAGAACAAGAAAGAGAAAATTGAATATCTAGACCCTGTTCTGGATTTCCCATCTAAAAATCAAAGGTACACGTGGCCTTAGTCAAATAACGTAACTCTGTTCCTCATCTGCACAGTAGACAATATTAGAGAACCCACCTCTTATCTCACAGTATTATGAAAACTACAGAATTCCAGTCACGTGTTCTTGGAGCTGTGGCTGGTATATAATAGGCACTCAATAAGTGTTCATTATTAGTAGTGTGAATAGTGGTGGTGGTCGTGGTAGTGGCAGTAATTGACTTGGTACAAAGTGTGAAAATCTCTCCATGGGGCCTAGACGCAGGAGCGTCCACATGCAATGTCTGAGGGGAACATGTGCATGAGCCCAGACTGTTTATTCCCATCCTAGCAGCAACTCCTGCTGGAGCAATCTGTGTACAGACAACAAACAACCGATGATGACGAAAATAAAAACAGAGCGTGGGGATGTGGGATTAGATCTGTCACCTCTGAGATTGTTGAGATGAAGTCAAGCAAGGATGGAGAAAAAACTCAATTCCTGATCTCCGGGAGAAGAGCAGCCAGCATACCAGCTGACAAATGCTAACAAATGCCTCCCCAGAGACCGACTGCCAACAAAAGGGGCTCAGGGAGGGCTTTCAAGTCCCCAAGTATTCAGATGCAAGGTCCTTTATGAAAAGCCAACAGGAGATGAAAGACAGCTTTGCCCATGTGCACAGTGGCTTCTGTAAAAGCCCCATGTTCTGAGCATATGGGGACCTCTTGGGGCTCTTTCAAGGCAGAGCCCAGGCCGGCTCTGCAGACAATCCTGGAGAATGGCTGTTCACTAATGTGGCAAACAAGGACCTGAGTTCTCTGTGGAATGCAAACAGAATCTGGCATTTGTGGTGCCGCTGGCTACTTGGCTACTCAGGCACCTGCTGAGCTTGTCATGTGCCAGAGTGACATCAGGCTTCCCGGACAAGAGGAGACGGAAAAGATGACCCCACAAGAGCTTAGAAAGGAACTGAGAAGTGTGTACAGATAAGCAAGGAGAAACTGAACCACAAGGGTGGCTGTATCAGGGAGACAAAGTGGAAGAGGCTATGGAGCTCCCAAACTGGAGCAGCCCATTTTCTATTCGTACCCTCTTGGAGAGTCAGCTTCTTCCTTAGGAGAACTTTGTGTTTTTTTCCGCAAACATACATGATTTTTCAAAAGCAAAGAGAGATAATGAAATTTAAAGTCACGGATGCTGAAAATTTCTGCAAAATGTGTGGGCAATCAGGTGCTCAGAGCCACAAGGAGTGGAGGACTGATGGGTACCTAAGGTCTCTTTGGTGGTGGTGCTGGACTTGCGTGGAGGTCTGAGGTTGTCTTCATGGTGCAGGTGACAGACAGAACTTTCAGAGAAGCAGAAAAGAATGGAGGAGAGGAGTCAGGGCTTCTGTGATCAGAAGTGAAGAGGCAGGTGTGGGGAAGACAGAGTTGTAGAAAGTGAGCATGTTCCACTGAGCCTCGCATCACAAATGCTGAGGTACATGGGATATTCCTGCCTCCCCTGTGAACAGCCATAAACAATAGATGTGATTAATCTGATCTGACAGACTCACTGAGGCTCAGGAGATTAACTCGTCTGAGATCAGTTAGCCAGTGGTGAACTGTACCCCAAATCTCCATATTTCCCTTTTTAGCGGCCACTTCCTCTTCTGTGTTCACAAGGAAGGCATACATGGATTCACAAAAAAGGGTCTGAGAAGACACTAGTGCATGCTGATTCCTTCCACCCTTATCCAAACACTCCTGAGCTCTTGGAGATGAACAGGTTGGTGGCTGGGGATGGAGCTCAGTTGGTGGACTGCTTGCCTAGCATGCCTGAAAACTTGGGTTCTACCCCCAGTACATCATAAGCCAGGCATGCTGGTGCATGGCTGCGATCCCAGCATTCAGGAAGTAGAGTCAGGAAGATCAGAAGTTCAAAGTCATCTTCAACTATACATTGAGTTTGAAACCATCCTGGGTTACATGAGCTCCTGCCTCAGAAAACAAGAAAGGAAGGAGGAAAGGCAAAAGAGTAGGAGACAAGGGAGTAAAGGCAAGAAGAAGGAGGCTGAGTTGGCAGGAAGGCCGCCTGGGTGGCAGGGGGCAGAGTTACTCTGCTCGGAGAGGCATGACCAGAGGGTGGTGCAGTGAGGCTTCTAGGGAAAGCCAAGTCTTGGACAGACATGTTCATGGGGCCCCAACTCTGTCCTGCTTGCTTTCCCAGGTTTCTGGAACTCAGTCAGGTTGCGCAGGAAGCTTATATCCACCTGAAAATGAGTTTTGCTTGGAAGACTTCTGCCTAAGTCCTGGTCCTGCCCATTCCTGCTTATGGCTGAGAGGTAAGCTTTACCCTGCTCCTTCCTATTGGCGTCATTTGCATAGTCATTTGCCTCAATCTGCATGCACTATGAATCATTCTGAACTCTTTCTCATGTTTATATTTAGCCAAATTATTATATTTCGGAAGTTTGTTCCCGACTCCTTTTTCTTCCCTGGACTGCTTTCCAAGTTTCTCCTGCGCTTCTAGCAGATCAGAACTCTGGCTCTTCTGGGTCTTGGCTCAGTTCTCAGCAGTGAGTTGGGTTGGTGAAACCTCAGACTTGTGTAAGTCACACTCTGACCCTAGTCCTCACTGTTTTGGCTGTGTAACCTAAGGCAGCGAGGTCGACCCTTCGGAGTCTCAACTTCTACTACCTTCGAAGTAAATGAGAGCAAGGACCCCATGTCATTGGTGGGGAGAAATAGTGGGTTTGAAAAGGCTGCAGATTGAGGCAAGGCCAAAGCTAGACTCTGGACTTGGGCTGGTCCTATAGTCTTCAAAGTCAACAGCCAAGCTTGATGACCAGGTGTCAGTGGCCAGAACTTTCTATTCTGCATGGTGGCCTTAACCCCACATTTCCACCTTGGGCCAAGGGGAGAAGCAGCTGCCAGCCTAGGCTAACCTTTAGGGTCCTGGTCGGGAGTGACTTCCTCCTCCTCCACATGAAATCTCACTATTAAAGCTTCATTTCTTTGCTACTACAAGTCTGGTCTGCTTGGGAGTAAAAATGGCACAGCGAGAAAATCCAGGGCTTACCTGCACACAGACTTGGATTCAAATCCCAGCCCTGCTACTCAGGTATACTAGGGTGATAGAACTGGTATTGTTCCTCCCTCCAGGTGCTGACACTGCACTAAATGACCCCTGAGAGCCACCATCCTTAATCTTTCTGCCTGAGATGCCTTACTTTTGACTTTCTTCATCCTGGCCCTGCCAGTCTTACTTAACAGCTAGCCTGTGACCTTGGGTAGATTATCTTCCCTCTCTGAGCCCTGGTTTCCAAGCAGTATAAAGGGGAGATAATAACAACATTGACCTGTTGTGAGACCTAACTGCTAGAAGCCAGCCAGAGAGTGACACAGGTTAGCTGCCCTTAGGGTGCACTCCTGCCATTCTGTGCTTTTTTGGGGGGAGGGGCAGAAAGGAATGAATGAATGAGAGATGAGCAGTAGGGGGATGGGGCACAGCTGGGGCAGGGGCCTGGGGCCAATGTCCTTCAGTTCTGCCACAACCTTCTTCTGTACTGAGCCAGCGAAGCAGTAGCTAGCTTACAGCTGCCACAGACTGGACCCTTCAAGTCACTCTACCCCAAAGGCCAGCATAATCACCACAGCCTGAGTCTCCGACATGCTCTCCCCAACCCTGGTAAACAATTTACTTTTGATGGCTGACAAATGACAAGAAATTAAGATACCTGCCACTCAAGTGGGGAAAATGACTTGCAGTGATTCCAATTTACTGGAAATTACAAGATAGTGCTCTCAACAAGTTGATGCTGTAATTTTTTTGTTTTCCCTCGTCTTAATCCATGTCCCCTGGTCAGAATGAATGTTTATTGGGTTTGCGTTTTGTATTATTGACTGTGAGCTATTGTTACCTGATGTAATTGAGTTGTGAATCTTTTTTAAATAAAGAATTAGTAGTAAATCAAAGTGGCTGCCTGCTGGATCCTGAAATGACAGCACAGCTGGGTTGCAGCATGTTGGCGGTGGCTGTGTCTATTTAGTAAGGACGCTTGGGGGAGGAAGGAGAGACTCTATCAGAGAAACATGAAGCACCCATTCCTTACCTGGATGCCCCTCCAGATGGGTGATGCACCCACAACCTGCTCTGGGCTCTTAGGGTGAGTTTCTCTGTTCTCTGGTGTCAACCTTTTTCCTTATGAGATAGGGATGGTCAAATCTGGCCTGTGCATCTTACAGGGATACTGGACATACAAATGAGGGCATGACCAACAGAACTTTCTGATCGTAGTATCTGAATGGGTCAGTGGAGCCATCAGGAGTCATCCCTGGGGACCAGTGTTGAAGGGGCCAGTTGCATCGTGCAGTGTGTGCACCCTGATGGAGGCACCTGGTTCCATTGCTGGTGTACCCCTTAGCCAGGCTCATAGCTCTAGACACCAAGAGAATGGCTCTCTCAGCAGCCCTTCACACTGCAGGGATTCGCCTTTGCAGAGTGGGAAAGGCAACTTTCAAGGTTACATGGCATGCGGATGGCAGAAGTTGGACCCAAACTCTTCTGCTCGCAGCCCATTGATCTTCGCCTAATTCTCCACCTCTGATTTTCCCTGATCTGTGCCCTCTATCGTGATGACTATCTGCACAATTACACTGGCAATTCATCATGCCCGTGACATCTCTCCTACTGCTGTCTAGAACTTGATTGGCATTGTGGACTACTATTGGATTCCTGCCCTATAGCTCTTCTTTCCAGACACTGTGAGGCTCTGGAGTCCTAGTCTTCTCTATGAGTCTTGCAATACCTGGAGACACAAAAGTGGCCCCACAGCTCAGTGCTGGACACAGAATAGGGGCTCTTGAGCTTAGTGCTAGTCACACAGCAGTGAGCTACTCTGTAGCTCAGTGCTGGGCACAGAATAGGGGGCTCTTGAGCTTAGTGCTAGTCACACTAGCAGTGAGCTAGTCTGTAGCTCACTGCTGGGCACACAGTAGAGTCCTCACAGCTCAGTACTGGACACACAGTAGGAACTCTACCACTCAGTGATGGCTGAAGAAAGGCCCCCTGGCCAGCTGTGACTTGGTTGAATTACGATGTTATACAGCTGTGCATGCTGGTCCCTGGAGCCAGGTGAAGAAATGAGTCTCATTGATGGAGACCATAGGAACAGCTGTGGTCTGGTCAGCTAGCTCCAGCTGGGATCTGGGGCCTCCTGAAGAGTGAGCAAACCCGGAGGGAGCTGCCGCCAGAAGCTGTGGGCTGTGCTTGACAAACGTTTTCATATGTGATCTTTGTGCATGTATGTGGAAATGAGGGCCAGGAAGGATGCTGAGCCCACCAAGAGGGAAGAAGGAAGGAAGGAGGGAGGACTGGAGATGGGGAGGGATAAAGGGAGAAGTCAGAGAGAGTGAGCTCTTTCCAGTCTGTGCTGAGGGCTATGTGTGTGCCCTTCACACACTGTCATCTCCATTTAGGATGAGACTGAGGCTCTTGTCTTCTGCCTCTGCATAAATCTGAGAATTCAAGCTCCACTCATGACCCCCAGTTCTCCTTCCCTCCCCCCATCGGAGGCAGGCTGGCTCCTGAAGGCATTGTTGCAGAACCACGCCCACAAGCTCCAGCTAGCCAGGTGCCCCTCCCACTGTTTCCAGCCCCTGTCTGTCCTTCAGTCCGGCTCCCTGGGGAGAAGCTGCTACTCACTGTCCTGGCTTCCTCGACTTCTTAGGGCAGATGTATGGATGCTGCCCTCTCCACCCCTCCACTCTTCATATCCTTCCCACCCCACCTTCCAAGCCACTCTTTGTCCTTCCCTCCTGGCCATGCTGGTTTCTCCTGCTCTGGGTTACCCTTCTCATGGCTCCCTGGGTGGCAGGCACAGCTTTCTATTTGCTTCTCACTCACACTCTCTGCAGTCACCGGTGGGGGTTGGGGGGTGCAGGTGGGTGGGGGGGGTGCTAAAAGCACCTGGGAGGCAAGATTCTAGCCCTGGGTTCCAGGCACTCTTCCTGTGCCCTAGTGAAGCCTTAGTGACTTCAAGTCCAGCCTGGGAAACTGAGAGCCTGCTTAAATAAAAAAGTAAAAAGATGGCTAGGGATGTGACTGAGTGGTGGAAGCTTGCTATGAATGGATAAACCCCTAGATTTAATCCACAGGAGGAAAAAGAAACAAATCACAAAAAAGAAATAAAGACTAGGGAGGAGGGCCTTGAACTACAGATTTCTGAAGAAGCTCTGGGGATGGAGGCCTCATTCTGGCACACAGCCGTGTCCGGTGTCAGCTCCCTTCCTTTAGCCCCCGGACAAGCAGACACTATCATGCACCAGGCCTCAAGTAGCAGCCAGACAGCACTAGCTGAGTGCCAGACACCCAGGAGAGATGGATACTACAAGGCAAAGAATTCTACTCTTTCTCTTTCTGAAGATCTTTTTCTCAAGTCCTTTGGCAGATCCGGTGTTTTCCTTCCTAGATGAATTGCACTTACTGAATAATAGTAATTACTCAGGAGAAAAGTCCTCCAGAAGAGGACACTAAGTTCCCGGTGAGGAACATTGCCTTGTACCAAGGTGGGGCCTCCATCCTCCCCCCGCCCGGAGGGGAGGGGGGTGTTCCTCAGGGATGGAGGAAACTGAAAGGAAACCAGCCCCTCTTCTCCCTTTCTCTCCCCTTGTCTCCCCTTCCCTCTTTCCATTCTTCTCTCCCTCCCCCTTCCTCTTCCTCCCTCCCTCCCTCCCTCTCTCCCTCTGCTGCTCCCTCCCTCCTTCCCTTCTGTCTCCCCCTCTCTTCTCTCTCCCTCTTCTCCCCCCCTTCCTCTTCCCCCTCCTTTCACAGCAGGGATTGAACCCAGGGCCTCACATGTTAGGCTTGAGGACATTTTGATATGGCCTAAAAAGCAAATCATTAACTATCTACTTTGGTTGCTAAGTTAATATAACCACAGTAGCCACTTTCATCAAAGTCTCAAGTGTCATCTATGGTCAGGGATGAGGTGAGGGGTACTTGTTAGAGCCATGTTCTAGTATCCAACAGCAACAAAAACTCAAACTGTCTTTTTTTTTTGTTTGTTTTGATTTTCCCATTTTAATATGGTGCTATTTTAGGACAGATCATAATAGTCTCTTTATTAACTTGACTACTTCAGAGTGTCCTGCTTAAAAAGAACACTGGTTCTGCACATATGTTTCCAGAGAGGCAATTGCAGGACAACACTGGGGCCTATTGGATCCTGTCAACATTTCAGAGAGGTAAATAAAACAATGCTTCAATTTTAGCTGGGGTTCTGTTTATACTCTGTGGCAAGACTTGGGTGCTTCATACAGATCAGAAACCTCACTAGAATTAGATATAATTATTATGATTAATAATAAATGGGAAATGAATTTATTATTATTTAATAAGTGTAGTTCATCTGACAGGCAAAATCTTTCAAAACTTAGGACCTATCTGAAAGAGTCAGAATAAAGTCATCAGACACAGAAAAGTCAGGCACTGCTCTCAGCAATGCTGCCTGCCTGCTGTTGGCTGTTCTTATTTCCCCAGCTGAGTTATCTGCCCATAGGCCAAGGAGTCTCTAACTTATGCAACCATTGTGCTGGACACTCATACACAGCCAACTGGGTAGGTGTTAGCATGTCCTATCTCATACAGAGAGGGAAAGAGAATATCTGGAAGGGGTCTGATTTACAAGGGATATTCTGACTGTGAACCTTTGTAGAAGGGACAGCAAAGAATTCTTAGCCAAAGTGGCTTTGTAGTTACTCTGGGCCAGGAGGGACAACGGGCATAGTCAGAGTCTCTTCTTCTTCCCTCCCTTCCTCCCTCCCTCCTTCTTCTCCTCTTCAGAGAATGACTTGCTTTCTATGCAAACAGGGAAGGGCTGGAAAGGAGGCTCAAGGATAAGAACATTAGCTTTTGGGCTAGGAAGATGGTTTACTTGGTAAAATGCTTGCTGTACAAGCATGGAGACCTGAGTTTGGATTCCCAGCACACACATAGAAAACCTGGCACGACAGCATGCACCTGTAACCCCAGCATTGTGGGAGTAGAGACAGGTTGATCACCAGAATGCTGAGGTTATAGGAGAAAACTCTGAGCTGGATAGCCATTCAGCCAGTCTAGCTAATCAGAGACCACCAGGTTCATTGAGAGACCCTGTCTCAAAAACAATAAAGTGGAGAGGGATGGAGGAAAACATCTGATGTTGACCTCTGTCCTCCACATGCACACAATTCACACCAACACACACATGTGCACACACACACACACACACACACACACACACACACACACTAGCTTTCATGTGCAATGTGGTTTCTGTTTTCCAAAAATTCTTCCATACATTGTTTCATCTGAAGAGCAAGTAGTGGTCAAAGAACAGTCCACCATGGTTATAATAATTAGTAGCATTTCTAAAGCTAGCTCATGTGTGCATATCATCTCCATCAATAGTCTGTGAGCGCCCTCAGGACAGAGAACACATCTTCATTGCCACATTTCATCTTTAGATCTTATATCCCACTGATGGGCCAGGGTCTGTGGCCCTTGACATGCTCAGTCACCCTGGAAACATGCACCCACAGGTAGGACTTGAGTCCTTTTCGGAGAGGCTTGTCTACCACAGCCTCTCCCTCCACTATACATACCTGTAGGTGTCTGTGGCTGGCACTTTCCAAATCTGGATGCCCTTCAAGGGCCCTTCGTTCCCCACCACCACGCTCAGATTGGAGTTCTGGTAGGCATTGTTGCACTGGGCCTGTGTGGGGCCATAGGGTCCACTGGCCCCACATGTGGTAAACAGCCAGTGAACTGTGACACAAAAGGAATGACAGTCAGTTACTCAACCTGGGTCTCCCTTTTCCAGGGGCCTTCCTGGGCTGTCTCCAAGCTGTCTGCTCCATGGGTTGAAGCATACATTCCAAGAAGGCACCAAGATTGTGGGAAGAAAATAAGAGCATCCATTCAAACTGGATACTTTTGTCAAGAGTCTACGATGGGCCAGACCCTGAGTCAGAAAGCAGGGAAGAGAAAAAGATGGAGAAGACTTGAACCCATAAGAAGCTTATCAGTACTGAGAGCAACCGAGAGGGATGCAACCAATCACAATGCAGGACAGTAAGGTGGACATCTATGGGAAGATCCAACTAGCATCATGCTGTCAGAGGCCGGAGAGGAAGTCCCTCTTTCAGGAGAGAAGGGCACAGGCCGTGGCTGAGCATTCTTCTGATCTCTCACTAAGTCCTGGGCAAACCCCAGATGCTCAAGCTGTTGTGCTACTGTGGCTGCTCCTAACTGTTCCCAAAGGTTTGGCAATACTTACAAGAACATTCTAGCTGAGAGGGAATGGCAAGAGTACATGGGACACAGTGTCAGCACCATGACCACACTCTTGGCTCAGGGACCCAGGCAGGTGAGAACAGGAAGCCTTGAGCTCCCCGGTCATGGCTTCATCTAGGAAATGCTCTCTGTAGTGGACCCTCAACAGGGCCGGGCTTAGTTTGGTCTGCTTATAACAGCCAAGTAGGGTTTGGAAATGCAAGGAATGACTTTTAAGTTCTCTATGAACAGAATTTCAAAAATGGAAGAACAAACTTGTTAATTTTTTACGCATGTGTGTGTATGATCATATGTGGGCATGTTTGTGTGCGAGTGTATGTGTGCATGTATACAGGTACATGTGTGAAAACATGTGGAGGTCAGAAGACAACCTTGAGAATTATCCTCAGGAACATCATCTACCTTCTTTGAGACAGGGTATCTCATTGGCCTGGAGTTTACCAAGTAAGTTAGACTGATTGGCTGGAAAGGCCCAAGGATCCTGATTCTGCCTCCTCTATACTGAGATTACAAGTGCATGCCTGCCATTTTTATGTGGATTCTGGAGAGCAAATTCAGGTCCTCATGTAGCAAGCAGTTTACTGACTGAGCCATCTCCCCAGTTACAAGTGTGCCAGGTTTTTCCTCTTCCTCCCAGGCCCTCATTTACTTCCTACAGTGATCTGTCTCTGCCCAGTGTCCTTAGGTGGCTTTCTAGGGACACTTCAGGAACATGACTCAAACCTTCCATTTTACCTCACTCACTACCACTAAGATATTTCCTTTTAGATTTTCTCTCAGACAGTTTAGACCTCGGGGATTTATCAGATCTCTTGGCCTCAAATCTAACATTTTTTTTTTATAACTTAGAAAAAGTTTAAGAAATGAATTCTTGATAAGTGGCTTTTACTTAAATCTCAATTCCAGATTGCACAAATTATTTCTCATCTTAAAGAAAGTCAAATTCTATCTATAGAAAATGATGGAAAAATTAATTTGAGTGTACATAGCACTGTCACTAAAACATTAAAATGAAAATTTCCTGAAGATTTTGAACTAATTTGATGATGAAAATGTAAGAGTTTAATTTGAGTCTCTAATGACAGTCAGATAGAGATCATTCTGGCCAGGGCTGAGAAACTGAAGACTGGACCTTTGGTGATTTGCTTTAGTAACACAACTCTGACCCTGGGGGACTGCAGTTGTAGTGGGATTCTAATGCATTCAGCTACTTAACACTGAGTACTAGGTTTCATCCAAATGAAAAAGTTGATTTCTATTTGGTTCCTGAAGGTCATTTCAGGGGCTAGGAGGTAATGAGTCTATTGGCTGATGGATGGCTAACTTTCTGATCTATTTGTGGGAAAATCTGTTAATTTAAAGGACTAACTCTTTATGGAAGGTTCTGGTGTTTTGTTCCTTTGCTTGTCTTTTTGTTTGAGACAGAGTTTCATTCTATAGTTCAGGTTGGCTTGAATTCGGGCAATCCTATCTCAGTGCTGAGATTACAGGTGTGTTCCACCATGGCTTACTTACAGAAGGTATTTTGGCAGAATTTGTTTGGACAGTTCCCCCTTTATCAGCTTCAGATCCCAAATTACAAATGTGGGCTCTGCTGGAGGAGTGAAGTGGAAAGACCATGGGCTTTGAAATCAGCAAGAATACCTGATTTGGGAGCAGGCATCTCTACCAATGATGGGTAATGAGCTCTTGATCCAGTTCCTTCATCTGTGGAAGAGGCTGCCTGGCACAGTACAGAAGTGAGGGGTAAGACAGGTCATTGTAGAGTTCCAGACTCTACAAGGGTGAGATGTATAACAATCCCTGCCTCTGTCCGAGGCTGTTATTGTCACTGATAAGGGGGAACATGTTCAGGGGAGTTTCTGTGATTATAGATCCCCATGCTGGCAGCATCTGGGAATTTAAACTCAGGGAGTCAAGGATAAGGATAGGGCAGAGAAGAAAAGAAAAACCTAAGAAATGGAGCTGTAAACCCCATCCCTCCCATTATGTCCTTCCAGAAGCCTATTATGCTGACCTGTGTCTACAAGAAGCAGCCTAGAATTGGAGAAGCCGCCTCAACTTGGAGACAGAAGTATGGTGTTTCATTTAGTTAATTCAATCCTGAAAATAAAAGAACATCTGTATATTTTAAACCTAGAGCATGATGGGGGGAGTTGAAGGCTTGGTACCCTGCTTCAGCAACTATCCTTCAGTGGAATCTTCATATAATTTCAGCCTAGGTTAACTAACAGCATCCAGAGGTTCTGAGGGATTTCCAGGGGTGCTGGTCATTGACTTCTTGGCCAGGTGGGACATCTGATGAGATAGGAAGAGGGCTATGGACTTGGGATTCAGACGGGCCAAGTTTTCTCTCCCTGAACATTGCCTCTGTCAAGCTATCGGACCCGGGTTAGGGGAAAGCCTCTTAGAGATCATAACCCTGTGTGAGTTGCAAAAAAATTGGAAGCAGTAAAAGATTTCTGAGCAACAATGACCAAAAGTAATTAAAATTCAAACACATAAGGAATCTGAGGTGTTTCTGGCAGCAATCATCCATGTCCCGTGACTTCACTGCAACCTTGGTTCTAAACACACAGCATGTGCACTTTGTACTGTGCATGCCATTATACCATGTGATGATACCAAGTGCTGCCTGAGACACCATGGCCCACATCTGACACTATTGCATGCTATCAATGCTACGGATTTCAGAATCTTTTCTATTTACAAACTTTTCTGAATGGTTTAATTACTATAAACAGAGATTTTTAATATTTTCCTATCACCAGTCCTCAGTATGTAAGTATCAAATTAACATATCTTTGGAGCATATCGTAATAGACAAACAGGCAATCTATCTCATTAGTATGCAAATTTGCTTTCATTTTTAATAATTGGTAAGATTAATTGTATATCAAAGAGTTGTTTTGAAACAAATTTCTTTGCGATTTATTATCAGTAAATGTTTGATATTTATAGTTATTTTATACCTATATACCCATGGTCATGTAAAAATTTCTCAGGCTAAAGGGTATTGCAAGTAGACAAAGTTTAAGAAGCCCTGGGTTAGGTTGTATGACCTATTTGAGCCTTGATGTTTCTAACATGAACAAATGGAGATTTACTACTGAGTGCTTAGACTGCCTATGAAAATTAAGTGATGAACCTCAGCCAAGTGCTTAGCATAGCATTCGACATTAGAGATGTGCAGGGAACATAGTTTAAAAAGTATGTACCTTCATGTTCAGTTTCTCACTGTGGGGACCCATCTCAAGATTTATGCCTCCATTCCATAAAGGAGATACTCTAGGGCCATTTCTCAATAAAGGGACCAGTATTTTCCCAATTCAATGGACATATATTAGTCTCAGGTGGTTTCTATACACAAAATTTTGTTTTTATTTCAGCAATTTCTGATGGAAAGGTCCAGAGTGAAAACTCTTTCTAAAGTGGATTCCATGGGAATAGAGGATTTGCCATCCCAGGTCAGACTCATGACTCATCCAGCCAGAATTTTGCTGCTCCCAGCAGCCTTTGAGGCATGGTGGTGGTCTCTGCTCTTGCAGATGGCTCTGACCCCCATAAATCTGCCCAGCCTTATTTGGAATCAATTTATGTGTCCCACCATCATGCTCTCCTGGGACTATGGACTTTCTGAGTTTACTGCTTTTTGTGCAAGGGATATCTTGCTTCTCGTGTGTGGGCTTGTCTGGTTCAAGCCTCATGCCATTGATTCTTTGTTTATTCTTCATGGGGTATTATAGACATCACTGAATGCCATATTAAGATGGGACCTTGAAGATCACAATGTTCAGTGGTTCCCAAACCACCTAATGAACTTTAAAACACAGATCCTAGGGCTCTGGCAATTTAAATTCAGTAGATCTGATTTGGGGGTCAAGGTGGAAATCCTTATATTGTATAAAAACTTTTTAAATGGACTTGGATACTCAATTAGATTTGTATACTAGTCCTACCTACCTCATTGTTCGGATGAAGAAAGAACATTTGTGACTCTTCTGAGAGTATCAACATTGGAGAAGGTCCAAAGCTGAGAATTACTCTTTTGTGTCTAGGAGTCCTCTAGTGCTGATCAGTCTTTTGCCTTGGAGACGTCCAGCCTTTCCAGACCATTCCTACATGTGTCTTTGCTCCCCTGTATCCTTCTCAGAACCATCTTTAAGGGAAGAATTTGCTTGTTGAGTTTGTCACTTTGTGTAATGGGATGATTGTTATTCTGCTTTATTTCCAGTGTCCCTCTGAAGGTACTTGCTTGGAACAGACTATAATTTTTCAGATCCTTGTCTGAGGTGTGCAATATTGCTTTAAGCCTGGTGATATTGAGTGCCCTACAGGAGGCATTTGGAATAGGAATGGTGGAGCAGGGTACTTCAGGCTGAATAGACATGAGATCAGTTCTAGGCCAAGGCAGGCAGACACTAGGTTGAATTCTAAACACCAAATGGCAGGCAGACACTAGGTTGAATTCA